AAGAGATAGACAGACACAAAGGTAGAGAAAACGTGAAGGCGAGTGCTGTGAAAGTGTTGGAATATGGCATACAGTCGGGTGATGGTAGTTTGAAGTCAGAAGTCAACTGCCATTTTATAGACTATTTTGCCGTATGAGTATACGTTGCCCAGGGTGCACCACGTGGAGGTGACCCTATCGCATAAACAGGATGTATAATTAATTCATTACTTGTCATTAAACCGCAGTAAAGTGGCTACGCTTGTTTATTTCCAGATCCGATAGATAATAACTCGTCAGTTTATGTAGGCGGGAGATTGAAGTTACTTGTCCATATTTTCTGGTAAGGGAGGGATAGTCTCAGGCCTTAACGCCGAACCAACTTACTGTATGAGAAAAATGTTATTCAATAATCGGAAATGAATAAAGTACCCCACTTAACATGACGTAGGAAAGAGAATGTACTGTGATTTAGTAGCATGACAAATTACGTGGACTATGTGTCTAGGTGTATGGTTTAAATTGCGTTTCTGGGACCCGACAGCTATGGCAGTAAATCGATTTCGGATTGTTGTGTGGCTAAAACTGGGGGGGGGTCTAGACTACACGGAGAACAATTTTAACGGATAAACGAACAAAAAGGTCCAGTTTGTGCGATAGAAAAATAGCTGAAATGTAATTAAATAATTTTAGACACATTTAAGCAGATATCTCGTGTAAATTAAATAAACAGCTAGGCTGAATGAGACTTTCATACGATGTCTCTTCTAACCCCAGTAAAACACAATTCTTTTTCTTAAATAGTTTTAATTTAATTGGAAATATTGGATATATATCAAGATAAATACTCTTAAATGACAAGCAGTTTTAGTTCATTAGACAAATGCAGGATCAGAGAAGAAGGCGACAAAGTCTTCGAAGGTGAGTCCAAGTTCTGGAGCAACCCCATAGAGTTGCATCAAGTTTTCAACAACCTGCTGACTGCCGGCAATAGCACCCAACAAACGCATAACTTCATGAACTTCCAATCGACCTGAGTGATCTGTGTCAAAAGAGGTGAAGACACGGCGAAGGTTCTCAATACTGTTTAGTAGAAAAAATAGTAGTTTGCAACATATACTTAAATGATTTAAGTAGGCAACAATTTGTGAAACATACTCCACGCTGTCATCAGGGAGCCGAGCTAAAACCATATTGAACTCCTCGGCTGTAATTTGACCATCTTGGTTAAGATCAAAGGTTCTCCAAAACTCCTAAAAAATTTACCAGTAGAAACAATGAGAAATAATACTTACTCTAATGGCCGACGGATCATAACGATGACGCTGAAGGTACTCGTTGACTTCATTCATGTGGAGGATTCGATCTCCATTGCAATCCATGCGGTTGAATAGCTCAACCAGACGCTCACGGCGTCCAACATCTTGTCGACGACGCATGCGCGAAAACATGTTGCCCCTTTTGAACAGGCAATAAAACTTTAGGATATTTCTCCTTACTATCGTGGCAAGTTCCTGATTTCCACTTTAAGAATATAATTTCTAATATTTAATACTATTTTTTAAATGCTTTATGTATTTTAATGTCTGAGCTTTTGGGGTGTGGTCATAGGGTAATATAAGCGCCAAGGGGTGTGCGATAGACTTACCTCCACGTGGTGCACCCTGGGCAACGTATACTCATACGGCAAAAAAGTCTATTAACTGGCATTTGACTTCTGACTTCAAACTACCACGACCCCCCTGGTTGTCATATTCGACCCCTTTCACAGTACTCACCTTACGTTTTACTCTTCCTTTGTGTCTGTCTGCCTCTTTTTCATCT